TTTCACCTATGTTTGGGTATTTTCTAACACTGGTGTAGTTCAGTCTCATCCAATGCTAAGAATGTAAAAAAGTATTCCAAAATATGGTAGAAGAGAATCAGCTATCCTCTTAACATCATTTATTTTAGTTTTTATTCAGCTAATGCACTAATTCAGAAAGTGTCTGAGCATATGATTAAGCAGAGCAAGCAGCTGCCAGTGTGATGCAATTTGGTAACTACAGGAAAGGCCTCCCCCACAGACATGCCATTTTAGTCATGTTGAGAGGGAGGGCTGCTAAGGCATGTAAGTTAAGCGCATACTGTCTCTAAAGAGAGGAGTTGGTTTCAAACTCATATTCTATGAGCTGTTAATATCTTGAAACAAAAGAGTTTCCCATTACTTATTATGGGAATAGGTATTTAGAACAGAGTTAGAATCCAAGGCAGATAAATTCTGCTAAAAATAAAAAGCAAAATTCAAACAACATGGAGAAATGAGACACTACAGTGAGAACCCCAGCCTACCTTGAAGCAGAGCTAAACATGCCCTAAGTGAGATTCTCAAAGCAAATGGAAAGATACCAAGACACACTCTACCTGCTTTACACACTTGCCCTGAAATTGCCCGGGATGCTATGGCCTTTATCAGGAGGGAGAACTTCCTTTTACTCTGGGATGAGCACAACCTGACAATTTTTAACTTTCATAAAATTATGTCATACATAAAAAATATAGGTAACTAAAACTTAATCTAAGTAACTTTTCAAAAAAAGTAATCATTTGGTTCACAAAATCCCAATATATTTTAAGGGCCAATAGGATAAATACTAGAATAAATAGCTAATATCAATAGAGGTGAACTCTAAAATCATTTTTACCACTTCCACCTATTAGTGGCATTATAAAGTACTGCATCCTCTTGCACTTAAAACTTCAAAGTGAATGAATTTTTCTTTTTGCTATAGGATTTGTATATAAGCACTACTTAATTTCTGTTAATGTCTAAATAAGTATATGTGCTTATAACAGTAGTTCCAATGAAGACTTATCTGTTAACTCACACAGGAATTTGGACTATTCATGGTCATTACTGAGAAGTCTTAAAAATATTTTAAGTATTGCTCACATGATCAAGTTAAATACATTCTATGAATTTTTTTAGTTTGGAATAAAGGAAATGTTTGAAAATCAATTTTATATTGAAAAATTCCACTGTGATCGGCCTTCAGATAACAACCAATACAATAGTTTTCCTTTATCCATGGGAGATATGTTCCAAGACACCAGTGGATTCTTGAAACTGCAGACAGTACTGAACTCTATGTATCTTGTTTTTCTTATACATACACACCTATGATAAAGTTTAATTTATAAATTAGGTAATTTCATGGATAGAATATTTGTTCTTACCATAGATTACAGCTTCTCTTTGGCATGTCCAAACTGCCAGCATTGCTACTTTTGCACTTTGGGGCCATTATTAAGTAAAATAAGGGTTACTTGAACACAAGCACTGCAATACTGTGACAGTCCATCTAACAACTGAAATGGCTATTAAGTAACTAATGGCCAGATAGGGTATGCAGCATGGATATGCTGGACAAAGGGATGATTCATGTCCCAAGTGAGATGGAGCAGGACAGCACGGGTGTGCAATTTAAAACTTGAATTATTTCCAGATTTTATATTTAATATTTTTGGACCACAGTTAACCATGGGTGATTGAAACTGTAGAAAATAAATCTGAGGATAAAGGGGCTACTGTCTGTGTCCATAGTAGTACTTTTAAGTTATTACAATTCCTATGTAGTTCAAAGCAACAAATGTATATTGAGATCTACTATGAGCAAGAAAGACATTGTTCTAGGAATTATAGAAACTGTAGATACAGGAACACATTTGCTTCTCTCAATATGTTTAGAGTCTAAATAGGTGAGAAGACAAGTATATAACCAGAATATAAAACAAATAGTTAAATCTATGAAAATGGGGGTGGGGGGGCAGATCCAGAAAGGCTAAATGGATACCTGGCATCTATGATAGGCATTGAATGCTGACCAGGGTCCTGGTAATTAGAGATTGATAGAGGTCATTCTAAATCAAGGAATCGACATACAGATACTAGGTATATTCACCTAATAATGTGTAGTCTGATTTATAGCTGTGAGGTACAGTGCAGTTGGAGAAGTTGTTCTTATTATGTATGTGTTTTTAAAGAAAATATCAAACAGAAAAAACAATCTTAAAATTGGTATGGAAACCAAAAAAGGACCTGAATAGCCAAAGCAATTGTGAGAAAGATCAAAGCTGGAGGCATCACGCTCTGTGATTTCAAACAATATTACAAAGCTATAATAATCAAAATAATGTTATTGGCATAAAAACAGACACACAGATCAATGGAACCAAATAGAGAATCCAGAAATAAACCCGTTCTTATATTGCCAATTAATTTATGACAAAGGAGCCAAGAATATGCAATGGAGAAAGGAGACTCTCAAATAAATGGTGTTGGGAAAACTGGATAGCAACATGCAAAAGGATGAAACTGGACCACTATTTTATGCTATACACAGGAATTATCTCAAAATGGATTAAAGACTTGAATGCAAGACCCAAAACCATAAAATTCCTAGAAGAAAACATAGGCAGTAAGCTCTTTGACATTGGTCTTGGCAATTATCTTTTAGATTTGACACCAAAAACAAAAGCAATTAAAGCAAAAATCAACAAGTGGGACTATGTGAAATGAAAAAGCTTTTGCACAGCAAAGAAAAACATCAACACAATAAAAATGCAATCTACTGAATGAGAGAAAGTATTTATAAATCACTACCTGATAAGAGGTCAATATCCAAAATATATAAAGAACTCATACAACTCAATAGCAATAATAATCATAATAATTTGATTTAAAAAATGGGCAGAGGATCTGAATAGATTTTTTGCCAAAGAAATACACATGGCCAACCTATACATAGAAAGATGCTCAACATCACTAATCATCAGAAAAAGGCAGATCAAAACTACAATGAGATATTATTTCGCACCTGTCAGAATGGCTGTTTTCAAAATGAGAAGAAATAACAAGTGTTCACAAACATGTGCAGGAAAAGGAACACTTGTCCACTGTTGGAGGGAATGTAAATTGGTACAGCGACTGTGGAAAACAGTATGGAGATTTCTCAAAAAATTAAAAGTAGAACTACTATATGATCCAGCAATTCCATTTCTGTGTATTTATGTGAAGAAAATGAAAACACCAATTAGAAAACATATACACCCCCATGTTTACTGCAGCATTATTTACAATAGTCAACACATGGAAAAAACCTGAATGTTCCTCAATAGATGAATGGATAAAGAAAATTTAGTATATATAAACAATAGAGTATTATTCACTCATAAAAAATAATGAAATCTTGTTATTTCTGACAACACAGATGGACCTCAAGGGCATTATGGTGAAATAAGTTAGAAAAAGAGAAATACTGTAAGGTATCATTTATATGTGGAATTTTAAATGAAACAAAAACAAGCTCATGGATGCAGAGAACAGATTGGTAGTTGTCGTCTGAGGTGGGATTGTGGGGTGGGCAAATGGATAAAGGGAGTCAAAAGGCACAAATACCCAGTTATAAAGTTATGGGGATGTAATGTACAGCATGGTGACTTTAGTTAATAATACTATTGAATATTTTAAAGTAGCTAGGAGAGTGGATCTTAAAAGTTCTCATTACAAGAAAAATAAATTTTATAACTATGGTGATGGATGTTAACTGCATTTATTGTGGTGATCATTTTGCAATATATACAAATATCAAGTCATTACATTGTACACCTGAAACGGATATATTATGTCAATTATACCTCAAAAAAGTATTAGTTGTCTGTATATATTTGACTCTGTTTATTGACCACCCTATTGAAGAATACATTCCTCTGGGCGCTAAAAGAATGTTTCTTCATTTATGTATTAGTACAGGTTTGGTGAATGTTTCCAACACATTTCTTAATAAGCAAATGATAAAGCCAGTTGATATCTTTATACTGATTTCTACATTCTCTCATGTTATGCTTTCTGTTGCCCATCTGTTGACTCATCTTTCTTTTAGCCATCCAGGCCATAATAACTTCTACAAGACACATCTACATTTTTCCTCAGAACCTTGTATCTCATTTCACACAATCCAATCCTATTACTTTTGTAGACTCGGGATGTGTTCACATCTGGTTGTTTGCAGATCATAACTCTTAAGTTCTCTAAAACTGAGTTGCATATTGAAACATGTTCCTAAAATCCTCTTCCTAAAGATCTTTATATTATCATTGGCAGAAGTATCATGCATTGGAAGTCTTTGATGAAACATTGAAATCAACACACAAGACTTGGCATATGTAAGACTCTGCTAAGTAGTCTCAGAATCATCTGAGTAATGAATTATAGTAATAATACAATGAAAGAATTCTGGAGCTTTGTAAATCAGCGAGAGAAAAAAGTACTTCAAGATTGTAAAGTTGAAAAAAAGGAAATGTTCTCCTCTGTTCTCTCTCCCTCACATCCCAGTCAAAGGGAACAGGAGCAGAAGGGGTTAAATAAGTCAAATATAATTGACCCTTGAACAACATGGGATTGAACTGCATGGGTCTGCTTATACATGGATTTTTTTTTTCCCAATATATATCTGTACTGTTTTTGATCTGGAGTCTGTGGATGCAGAGGGCCGACTCTGTGCACTGATCTATCCATCTTATATAGGGGACTCGAGCATCTGCAGATTTTGTATCCACTCAGAGTTCTGGAACCAACCCCCATGGATACCGAGGGACAACTTAAGTTTTAGGGGAGTCAAAAGTTATATGCTGATTTACGAGTGCATGAGAAGGTCACTGCCCCTGACCCCTACATTGTCCAAGGGTCCACTGTATTTACTTTTTGTCTGAAAATTTAATCTCTTTATTTGGCTTTTTTCAAGCTGAGCTACAACCAATATTTTTTAAATTGTTGTTTTCTTGTAGGTGCAAGCCAGTTATGATGTAACACGCTATGAAAATATTTTCTCATTCTTCTGGATTTTGGAGCAGCTTCTTCAAAAGGAAAATGAAGAAGGCAGTAGTTCAAGTATAGGGCATGATGACCAAGAAATCAAGAAATTTCTTCAGAAGCATGATGAAGCTATTTTCCAACTCTCTGATTCATTTCCTTTATTTACTTTTTATTTATGGAGACTCCGCATTCTCTTGAACTCCACAGAGATAGAAACTGTTGAGAATAACTCATTTTCTTAGTAATTTACCAAATATCAGAAACATACTAATGTTGAATATATGAAGATCTTGTACTTAAAATATTTTCAAAAATATTTTTAAATTAGCATTTTAAATGGATCTTTAAATATAATCATTAATTAAATTTAAGTCTTAAATTGTGTATAAAAGATTGAGTCATATTTCTATACTAGAATCAGCCAGTATCAGCCTTATTCTAACATAACTGTATTTTACAATATGTTACTCAATACGTTCTTGCTCTATTACTCCATAAAATGGACCATTATTTGTCTATATCATAAAAGATATTTACATTTTAAAATATTTCCATGTAATAGATACTAAAAAGTAACAGAAGAGATCTTAAATGTTTTATTGCTTTATCAACACAATATTTAAAGTGGTTGTAAATTAGATTAACTTTTTCTTACATAATTTCACTTATATCACTGTCTATCATCTTGGAGGGGACCCACATAGGAAAAAAGTCTTCAATGTTTGTAAAAGTAATTGCTTTTAATTTGACATAATTAACATATGTTTCAAATAATTTTGAAAATATTAATTAGTTGTTTAAATGTTCTGTTTATTTTTTTCAAAAAAATGTTTGTTTTGATTCTGTTGATTATAGATAATATTCTTCTTATTATTAAAATAATAGAAATTTAGTTAAGTCATATGTAATGTCATTGAGGAAATTTTCACAAATTCTTACATCTGTCCAGAAATATACTTCATACTTACTAAAAGTATATTTATACTTATTAAAGGTATTGGTTGAATTTTTCAGTTACATGGTATCATTGACTTTTTTCCAATTATTAGAATCATAGCCAACTAGCTTAATGAGCACACATTATATACTTTCCTATAGCACAAGTTAAGGCACAGTGGATACAAATTTGCTTCATTATGTGTGATATTGTTTCATAAGTTAATTACCATTCGTAAATGCCATTGATGTATGTAAAATCATATTATTATTTGTCATGGTTATTTTTGGAGTTATTTCTAGCTTTCTAGAAAAGATAAAGCCTTTTTTTATAATTCCGAAACTCAATGCATGTATCAATCAGTGATTGTTAAGTAACAAAAAGCCACCAAAATCTCAATGACATACAAGCAGTACTTATTTCTCAGATGTTTCTGGGTCACTTGGGGATCAGCTCATCTGAACTGGACTCTGCTGGAAAGCTCTACTCAGGTTGCAGATTCCACTGGGCTAGGCTCCTTGTAAATTGGGTTTTGGTCTCTTTCACATGTGTACATTCTGAAGCCCAAGCTGAGAGAAGAAAGCACCTACTAAGAAGTTCTTCTGTGGCAATGGCAGATTGGCAGGAGAAAAGGGGCTAGGCAGAGAAATGTCACACCAAGCCCAGAGTAAAGGGACAGGGAAGTATCCCCACTTTGAATGAGAGAACATGTGAAGTTACATGATAAAGGTCATGGATACAGGTAGAGAGTTGTGGCAAATTATTTACTCCACCACCCATACTAGTGAACACAAGAAGGATATTCCAGATCCTGAATTAGGAGGCATTTTTTCTAATATTTGATACCTGGGATTTATATAAATCAGTTGATGACCTTACATAAAAGCCACTACCCATCCTCTCTCTTCTGTAATTAGGCAAGGTTAGTAAATACGCAAGCAACAGCAATGGCCCTTTTCCACTGAAGTCAGCCAACATAATCATAATGATCCTAAGAAGCTTTCTGTAACTAGAACAGATTTCTTAATTCCAGTAGTCTTCAAAGCTTCAAGGTCTGAAAATTAGCCTAGGAAATATATTGATTATAGAACAAACAAGATATTGGGATCATCATTAATATATAAAATGGAGATAACGTTTTATTTCCATTTGGTATTATTTTTATGTAAACACTAAACTTCAGTCAATTATATGATACCTAACACTTCATTATTCTATGTTTCAGTCTGTAACAGTGTTAACTGTGCTGTTAATTTAGCATTGAGGGCTAAATGTCCTGCTGGTAAAATGAGAGAAAATGAGACTTTTTAATCTATGTATTTCAATAAAGCATTGAAAGATAAAGAATGAATGATTTAAACTAGAATTATGAATATTGTAACAATTAAGATTTAGTTAATGTCTAACTTTACAATTAAGATTTTGGGGATAAGAATAATGGAGACCATAAAAATTGAGCAGTGCTGAAACTGGATATAAGATGGCCTGGGAAATTAAAAGGACCATAGAACAGTCCTAAAAATGGAGGAAATAATAAAAATGATAATAAATGCTGGAAATGAGTATTTATTTAAAATACTCACATAGTATTTTATACATGTAAATAGATATTACACATGTTAATATTTAATATTACTATGACATCAATTTATTACATATATAAATTATATATATGTATATTTATATGTTATATTATTATATATAATTACATACATTATTAGTAATAAATAGACACTAGGCACTGATCTAAGCATTTTACATGTTAACTCATTTGATTCTCCTAACAACACTACGTGATAAGTGACATTATGATTTCCATCTTAGAGATGAGGTACTCAGATAAAGGAATGTCAAACAATTTGCCCAAGTTCATACAACCAGGAAATGGAAGATTTAGGTTTCACCTTCAGGAATTCTATCTTCTCAGTGCACACTCTTAATTACTGTGATTCACTGTCTGTTCAGTGCACTTCATGAAACTCTCACACACTTCTTTGCAATTGTCATCAAAGCTTTGTATGCCCTAACTACAAATCTTATAGCACGGCAATTCCATATTAGCTTGTTTTGGATTCTTCAACCCCTGCAAAGCAGCTGTCCTGTCTACTACCATCTCAGAGCTACAGCATATTTGTCCTTTTCTGGATTGTAGCATTTTACAATAGTCAAGACTCTTTAGGTAAATTACAGATAATCTTCAAATAATAATATTCTAAAAAGTGCACCTCTCGCTCTAAAGGTGGCGTGGGTGGATTATCAGACAGCATTGCTCAGCCTAGTGGAGAGAAGAAACAAATCTGGTTGTTTTATCCTTGGATCTATAGATATTGCTGGTATTTTAAGTAATTCTTTCATAAACTATTGTATTTTTCATTCATATTTGTTGGCATCCTACAGGTAAGGGAAGTATATTCCTAGGGAGTCAAGTAAAAAATCCATTTACATTTTCAGATTTTTATGTACATTTGTAGATTTTTTAAAAATATTGACAGCTCTGGCTTATGATGATCTGGTTTCATTTATTCATCAAATATTAAGCACCAACTTTGTATGCAAATCAATTATTTGCATATATAAAAATAAGCATACAAAGTTTTATATTTTATCAGACTTATAAGACAGAATTTTCTTTTAGAGTTCAGTATTAATGACCCAAAAATGTCAATAGTTCGTATTTGCTGAAGGAGATAATTAGGGAGATAATATTGAATATTGGAGAAAAAAAAAGATATAGGATTTTTATTACCTGAAAGTCAATTCGTTCATTTTAAATTATCTATAGAAGTTGGGCAACACTAAATTTATCTGGCCAATGAATTATCTGCTCCTTTAAGAACTGTCAAAATATCAGAGTATGATTGACATACAGGAAATGACATCCTTTTTTTTATTTGTTTTTCTTTTAATATGAAGAGTTCTCTAGTTTTGAGAATCAATTATTAATAGGAATCAAAGCTTGTAAAAAGAAAATATGAATATAACATTCAAGACACTGAAATAATTTATTTTATAATTCGTAGGTATATATACTCTGAATTTGCAATATTTTCTTCTAATATTTTAATATAATTTTTGTTGGAGCTGCTTAACTGGTTGGCGGATTCTGTTATATTTCAGTTGGTCGTTGTGTTTCATAGCCAATCTATTGGGGCATCAAGATTTATAGATAACATTAAATTCAGTAGTCTCTGATCTATATATACAAAGCTGTGTTTCTCGAACTTGGTCCCTGGTCCAACAGCATCAGCAACTCTTGAGAGCTTGTTAGAAATACAAATTCTAGGGGCCCATCCCAGACCTACTTCATAATCAGAAAGGCAAGGGTAGAGTCCAGAAATCTGTGTTTTATCAAGTTCCCTAGGCGACTCTGATGTCCACCGAAGTTTGAAAACCACTGCTATGATCATTGTTTTTACTGAACAAGAGGGATTAATACATATAAAATCATTCAGAAAGTGGAAATTCAATCAACCCAAATTGATTAACTGAATTTTTTTAACTTTTCCTGTTTGTGCCTTAAAGTTCCAAAGGAGGATTTAGGAGAATTTAATTATTCATGATTTACTTAAAATCAGTAGCAAATTTATAAATATATCAGCCGAACTTAATAACACTTTAAATAATTCTTTCCACTTAGCTTTTAGTTCCTTTAATAAAATAATGACTCCCTATTGGTGGAATTTAAAAAAAATTTATTATAATTCGAGTTTAAGAGATATAAATTAATTACAGCTTTCTGCATTAGTCCTGATATACAGTGATGAATATGCAGAGATGCAGACATGATGTTACTTTACTCTTAGGTTCAAATATTAGATACCCCAAATAATATCAGAATGTTTATCACTATTCCTGGAGATATTTTTTTTATATATATACATATGGTAAATATATCTTAGTTATAAATATATTATTCTATTTATCAATCCTACAGATGAAATTCTATCTTTTTTCGATCCTTTTGAAATATGGTAGGATATAAATAAATAATAAACAATTGCCTGTTCTCAACTCTTGTGCTTATTTCCACCATGTTGAGTCTCAACCACATTGAGATGAGCTCCAGAGCTGAGTAAGAACAGCACCCCTGACAAGATGAGAGAACAGAGCTATCACTGCTTTTAGATTTAGATTTAACCACTAAGATCTTTTCATGAATGATTAATCGTTTCAGGAATAATAGAAACACTAAACAGTCAACCAGCAGGGAAATGATGCATCTGTTCTTTCTTCAATCTCAAAAACACACTCAGTCCAATAATCATTTTGTAAAAAGAAATCCAAAACTCTTGAAACTAATGTTAA